AAGAGAAAGGCTGGAAGGAGAAGGAAAAAAAGAGGTAAAACTAGAGAGTCACAAGGATGATAGGTGAATAAGGCCAGAGGAGAAAAATGGAAAAACGGTGGAAATACTGAAGGAAAGAAAGGAAATCTCTCAGGAGACTCAGATATCACACCAATCGCTAAAAGGGCAATTTCTCAAATCATTAGGAAGTGTTTTAGTCTGGACAGAGGAGACTGAGAAAAAGTTTGTTAAGATAACAGATAATGTAGTACAGCCTTTTAAGAGAAAAAAGTTAAAAAGGCCAAAATGAGTTTCTTATCTAAACCTCAATTTGGAGCAAAATAGGGATTACGGGGATAGACTGAAGGACTCCTGGTTTGACAACAACAAGAATGGCAAGGAGATTACACTGAGGTGCTGGGACATTGTGAAACCAGAGCGAGAAAGCAAACCATTCATGGTCTGACTGTAACTTTGTAAACAAAAAGAAATCACACTTAATTTTACCGAGGACGGTGGACCCATCAGAGCCGTTGCTAGAGGATTGGTATTTTGGGACACCAAATGAGCTAAGAGCGTCGTCGCTGATGGATTGGGAGATGTCCTGGAGCTGCTCCATGCTACCCATGAAATCGTCATCAGCACACAGGGGACTGCCCAGCACCGAGTCCTCCAGGGGAGAGGGGGGATGGTAATGGGTCTCCATGTCGACCATTGTGGTGATGGGAGGAGGCTGGCGGCACTCTCACTCATCAAACTGGAGACCAAGGACAAGGGTGCAAGGGAAAGGAAACAAACAGAGGTCAAAGAGGTCAAATACAAACACGGGCTGGCCGACAGAGATTAAAAAGTCACCCCGATTTTTACATTTGTATTTGTACATAAAGCTCACATGAGCTTGCCAATATGGCCACGACATCACGACATATAATGCTTATTATGTTTATCATTTTTGGATAGCAGTTAGCAGACATCGTTAACAGAATTTTTTTGACTTGATAATACTAACCAACTTTTTCTGGTCATTTTGGTTTTTAGGGTCTGCACAAAATGTAAAATGGCAATCTAAAGAAAAGTAAAGGCTTCTGAGTAGATATCTCAGTTAATGAGTTGACGCTGAAATGTCCGGGGACTGCCAGAGAGCGAGGGGTCTAAGGATTTAAACTTTCACTGTGGACATCTATGTAAAACTTTATAGCACTCTATCCAAAGGTTGCTCAGATATCTCAGTATGCCAACAGACTAAGAGACCAAACACTAACAGTACCTTTATCATCATCAACACAGCTGAGTAAAACTCCATTATCTTTCAGTGCAAATGATTCAAAACAGCTCTGAATAACACATTCAGGCCTCATGAGAAGGGCTGACGCAACATGTGGCCATCAATACGCTGACCCATGTGCAACAGCTGTTGCACATGGGTCAGCAGGCCATGAAGGAATGAAGCACACGGAGTATCTTATGACACAACACGGGCCTCTCTACTCCCCTTAGCTATTCACCGCACGTAGAGTAACTATATCCACACAAAACCTTAGTGCTGAAATAAGACAAAGACTGAGGGTAGAAATATAGACTGAAGACATGTGGAGGCACGAATGTAGGACAGTTATTCCAGCTATAGGCTGTGCTGTAATAGGAAGGCTGAGTCTGAGGTTGGCTAGAAGACACATAAGAGACTGGCATGGCGTATTAGGGGTGGGGGAAAAAAATCGATACTGTGTAGTATCGTGATATTTTGTTTGCTAATAATGTATCGATACAGGGACAGCAGAAATCGATTTTGTTACAAAAAAAGTTTTTGTGGACTGGAACTCTGACTTCAGAGCATGTTGATCCTTTTTCTGAGCAAGAATCCTGACATTCCCTCACTGTCCAAA